ATAATGAGAAATGAACGTCTTAGCTAAAAAGAAAAGCGACGATGAGAGAGCAGCTAATCAAAACAGAGTAGAGGACAATAACTCTGACCGGATGATGGTAATTCAGTTCTTTTCTAAACAGAAATTTTTTTGGGCCTACCTCATCTGCATAATTTTGTTTAGCCGTTCAAACGGGTACTTTTATCGAACCGACGGCTCTCTCCATTTTCTTTTTGTGCTGGTTAAGTACAGCATTTTGAAGTATAAATTTCAGTTATATTTTTTTTGATTTGCATGTTTTAGTGATGAGATTTAAATTTGTTTAGTATCGCAGCAATTTTGATTTATTTGAAACGCAAGCACTTCGGCATGATCATTTGTATGTATGTATGTATGTATGTGTGTGTGTGTGTGTGTGTGCGTGTGTGTACTGTGGGTGCGTGTATCAACTGACGCGGTATTTTTAATATTAGAAGTAAAAAAGAGAAAGGCCGAAATTTTCGAGAGCATTGTTTTATGTAAAAAACATTGGCGACGCACACTGGGCGGGTCCGGTGCGATCATGCTTTTTCGTAGTGTTTCGTGCTGTAATAAGATCACTCAAAATTCCGCTAGCTAGAAACCTCTTGTACATGTTGGTCCTCGAATCTCGGGAGGTTAATTATCCACGCTATACTTGGACAGGGAACATTCCCTTGAAGTCCCAGTTTCCCAGCTTCCTCAGTTCCTGAGTTACCCAATTCCAGCCAGAAAATTTCACGGAGCCATATGTGGCAACCACGCGTAATGGGGAGCTGAATTTGATAAATTAAAGTTGTAGATGAGCTGAACACTTCCTGAAAGTTTCAACCTCCCAGCTTCCCTCATTCCGGAGTTAGCCATTTTCCCGCCAAAAATTTTCACGGGGCCGTACACGCCGGGGTGGGGCTGAATTTAATAAATTTAAGTTATAGATGAGTTGGGAACATTTCCTGAAAGTTTCAGCCTTCCAGCTTTCTTGGTTCCCGGGCTAGCGATTTTCGCGCCAGGAGCCCTCACGGGCTGTATGCAGGAAACGCGCACATCTGGGGGCTGAATTTAAAATCTTCGAGTTCTATATGGACAAGGAGCATAATCGCAAAACTTCAGCTTTCTAGCTTTCCTGGTTCCCAAGTTAGCGATTTTCCCGCCAAAACTTTGAGGCGCGCGTACGCGGGGCCTAGAAGTGCTTGAGAATTGTACCGCGGTTCTGGAGTGTACTCGGCCAGGGAACCCACTCACAAAATTTTGGCGCCGGAGGTCGCTTGGGTGCCGAGTTGAAATAACCGGACACACACACACCAGAGTTGTTAGAATATGTGTTTTTACATATAAGCAAAAACGCATAATTATACGACTTGCACAGACTCATTCAGATCCATTTAATTCACATTTAAAATTAGACTCATTCAGATCAATTCTGCTCGAAATGAGCTTTTTCTCAATTCGCAAATTTTCTCTCTTTGTCTATTTATGTTCCTCATTGCCCTCGCCCCCGCTTCATTTAGGATATCTATTTAGTACCCTCGTTATATCTCGTAATTTGAGTAAGAGCTGCGCTAAACCGATTGTCATTTTGGGAATATTCCAGCTTGAAAGGCAAAAAAGATGAGTATTGCTGTTTACCAATGAAGCAAATTGTTCCCTCCCAAAACAAAAAAAAATCCTTTAGCGCTTCAAGATTTCCAAGCAAAATGAAACAATTATTTTCCAGTTCGTTGAATCTC